CTCTTTCCCACAGGCAGTCTCACGTCTTACTGCTAATCACAGCCTTAGAAAACTGAGCCACGTATCTATCACCAGGTAAAAGATTAAGAATATCAACAAGGAGGGTGTTGAAATAAGGAATGTAATTTTCTGTTACCTGTATAGGCAGACATTTAAGACAAAGAGAACTCAGTAGGTTCAGCTGGTGTAAGCCCATGTAACTTTGGCTTTAGCTTGCTTTCCTGAAGAGGCAAGGCTTATGCAGTCAAGCTCTGTGTGTGATAGCCCTTACTAATAACATTTAAAACAAATGATGCAGAGGGAATGGAAGGCTCCAGAGGACAGAACTAAGTTCTTGTAACATCTATGAAACTACATGGTTGAATATAGGGAAGGAATAATAATCTGCATGCGTGTAGTATTATCTTGAAAAAGAACCACGGGCTGCAAGCCCTGCGTCTTCTCCAGCCTGCCTTACAGATCTGCAGCACACACTTTTTTCAGTCAGTCTTTGAAGAGCAGGAGGTCTGGTGCGTGTGGCCCTTCAGAGGACAGAAGGGGAGAGCTGAATTTCCTTCCTGGGGTAAGTGCCAGAGTGTAACCTCTCTGCCTGCTGGAAGGAACCCATGCCAAAAAGAAGTGTAAATGCCTCAGCAGTGGTGAATTTTTCAGACAGTTTGCAGTTTCTTCAAAACCTCAATCACAGCAAGATATGACATTCTACAAGACAAGATTTCAGTACCAGTTTCAGTCCATGCTTACTGAAAATCAGGTTTCTGGCCCTCAGGAAGTCAATTGGTACAAAACTGGCAACCTGCAATGAAGATGATGGGACTAGGGATGGCCACAAAGACACAGACAGTCTGCAGGGAGGTGACAGTGGGAGTTATGGCACAGCACCTGCCAGCATGGCTGGCCTGCGCTCGAGCCAACAACAGCCACTCGCACTGCTGGCATGGACAGGATTTGGGCAGAGGGTTTATATTATCTTTAGCAAATATGAGAAGATATTAATGGGAAAGTCGAGTGTTTGTTCCTCTCCCAATTTTTTGCTTCGTGCAGAGTGCAGACATTGACATTAGATATGATTATTTCAAGCCTTTAGGAAACTAAAGTGATGCCCAGGTATCTGCCACTCAGCTTGTCCTGAAAGCACTGCCTGCAGGTGCGGGAGCTACATACGTCTGTAAGTTTATAATTAACTCCAGTGAAAGAGAGTAGAGATTTTATTCTTTTCTGGGCAGGCGGCACTATTAGAAAGCACCTGGGATGAAGGGTCTCCCAGACGCAGAGAGAGAGCACCGGGAACAACTCCTGGTTCCTCAGTCCTCTGACAGAGCCACCGCCTGGCTGCAGGGTGCAATGCAGACCGAGCCTCCGCACGCCGGGAAACGCGTTAGGTGGAAGGAGAGATGGTTTAACAAACTTGAGCATCTTGGGCCCCCTGATCAGCAGATGTCTACCTGAAAACCTGTGACCACGGTTTTTTAAACACGTCAGAGGACTCGGGGCAGGATGCACTGGGATCCACCTCTGTCACTGCCACGCATTGAAATCTTTTGCATGTGAGGAGGAAAACATATAATTTGCATTGCAGTTGTCACATGAGGATCAAGACCTCTGTCCCAAAGAGAATCAGGGAACTTCAAATCTCTTGCAGTCAATCTTTCAGGCTTGTTGAGGACATCCCCTTGTCCAACTGCAGTAAGAGCTCAGGCAGAGCCTAAATGTGCAACTATGAATTCAGATTTGGCTCCTATTCTCTCCAAGCTCTCTTAATATTCCCACTCCCAGGTTGAAAAATAGTACCCTGTGTTTATACATATAATCAGCACTGTACCTCTGGTAACCACAGGGTCTAAAATGTGATCTTGTAACCCTTCACGACTGAGCATACCTAGGGCAGACAAAAACTGTCAGACTATTTGTTAGAATTTGTTTTCTTCATGTTGCTAATAGAAGTGGCATCCTTTGCTGTGTGGGTGCCTGTTCTCATCGCTGAGAAGAGCAAACACTATACATGAGACCTAGTGGATACTAATAAGTATAAGCAGGGCTAAACCACAGGCAGAGGATGGGGTAACAAATATATATTTATTTTAGAGTTGTTGTATGATGCTATGAAGCTTGTTTATGTAACCAGATAACTGAAATAACACCAATCCCCACCCTTAATGAAGGGTCACACCACAACAAAAACAAAAACTCTTGCAGGGTTCAAACTGGCAGGCTAGTGGTTGGTGGTTGCTTTTTCAAGATTTTTCTGTCTATGGGAAAACAAAAATTAAGACCACAAGTGACAGGAGACATCAGGAACAGGCACAGGAGCTCTGGGATGCAGCACGTCCAGGTGCTGGGCCAGAGTTGTGTAAAACAAGGAACTGGACATTGAAGGAAGTCTCTCCTGTTTGACTGATTTCTTCCACATCCAAGGAACTTTTAAAATAAACACTATCCAGAGATATCTGGTTATATCATCAGTTTCTCATTCCTAGTGAATACAACCTTCAAAGTTTCTGTTTTAACTCTCTTTCACATCAAAAGAGGGACAGAACAAATCTTCATCCATTTTTGCTGAAAGCTGGATTTGTGCTAGTGACCTATAAGTGCAAGGTTTTCTAGTCTACTGTCAGTCTTCTGAGCCACATACTTGCCACATTTACTTCTACTACAACCCTTCAAGATAAACTCTGGGCTTGGAGACAGAGTATTTTGTACCAAGTGCCTCTTTTTACCTTCCTTTCTCACCTTTCCTTTTCCTTACAAGTTATTTTTACGCTTGTTAGTTCATGGCAAAATTTACACTATTTTCAACTAGGAGAGTAAGATTTAGAGCTCTTTTTATGGTGCCCGTGGCTTTTGTAAGCAATAATAGAGAGTAATTTAAAAGATCATTTAAATGCCATGGCTCCTGCAGGACAGGCTGAGAATATTCCAAATCCACAAAGAAATTTAGTTTAAATATACATGCAGATTGGTAAAAATAAAGAGCCCTGGCTTAATGATTTTGTTAAATATATGTATGCATAATACTGTACTTGTTAAAACAAACAAACAAACAACAAACACACAAACAACCAACCCCCCCCCCAAAAAAAAAAAAAAAAAAGTACAAGAATGTAACTATATATTGAGTATTTTTTGCTTGCAAAAACCTGGAATTTCATTCTGCAGTAGCAGGTGGTGGTTAGTTTGTTATACAGGGACACAGACCCACACTGCTGCACAAGGAGAGCTAATCTCTCTGAAGATCTGTCAAGTTTCTTCTCCTTTTTCCTCAGCAGATGGAGTCCCTCAGTTCTAACAGTGCAGCTCAGAGATCCACTCCTGACCCATCTGTAGGTAACCCAGAGCTATGAAGGGCTGCACAGGCTGTGGCAGAGCACCTCTTCTCTTCTGAGCTGTTGCTTCTCCTGACATCTCTAGAACCCACAAGAGACTCTAAAGAACTACACATTTTAGGGAAGAGCATGTGACTCTGCTCCAACCCTGTTTCTGTCCTCCTTAGTACATTACTTCCTCATGTGAGTTTTTTGTTTTCCTTGGAAAATTCTCCTTCCACCACTCAAAGAAATCTCTTAACATGTTTTGTCTTGCTCTTCTCTATCTGACAGACCAGAACCAAATATGAGTCTATGGTCCTCCAGCCAGTTTCAGGAACAAGGCACCATGGCTCAACTTTATTCTGTGAAAAACCCTGAAGGTAAATGTCAAGGTAGATGAATTAAAAATAAAATCAGTGTTGGGTTGTGTTAATTTTCAGCATCTCTCAGTGATCTTAAGTATAGAAATGTATTTTTTTCTTAAAGTGGAAGATGAGGTTCTGGTGTATGTATTAGGCTTGAGAAGCTGAAGCTTCAAGGAAAGGTGCCAAATATTGCAAGAATTTTTTCTCAGATCTGGTAAGGTAAAGTTAGCTTTGCTATTATCCATCTGTCTTTATATCTTCTCTCAGCATTGGGTATAGGAGAGAGCTTTTGGCCACCCAGCTGGTGTGTGTTTGTGATGGTAGTTGGAAGACAGTCAACCTCAGAAGAGAGAAAAACCTATCCTAAGTTATTCCTGTCCACCTCAAAAGCAGCTACAATGCACCATCCATCAGTACCAGGTTCTAAATAATTAATTCTACTACTAATAAAGTGTCCCCATTAAAGGTTCTGCCTTTAATGTACTGAGAAACCACTTTCACTTCCAGCTGAAGCCAGGCATATATTATTGGTTCACTGGAGACACAGCATTTTTTTAATATTCATCATACTACAGCACATCTCTCAAAATACTGCAGAGACTATAAATCAACTGTTCTTTTTAATTTTGTTTGTATAGTGTATTATTTCAATTATTTAGATTTAAGATAGGCTTTTTGATAAGGTGGGCTCTTTATTCCATGTAATTAACTTCTACTTATCTTGAAGGAAAAAGTCCTCCCATTACAAGGGAAAGGAGAAAACATCAATTAAAAAAACAATGTTTTAAAGCAAATAATATCTATATGAGGTGTTGCAGAAATTATCCTATTGATCAAAAACCCTGTTCATAGCTCCACTATGAATACGAATGCACAGCAGCCAGTAATTCTTCTGGCACTTTGACATTAATTCAGTTAAAACTAAAATAGCGTCTCATTTAGGAAACTTCAAAAGCTATTGGAACAATCATTTTCCTCACTTACCTTGAGACAACCAGTGGGAGAATCAACATTTTCAGCATCCTCATCAGTAACTCGCCAGGGAATTGGAAATAACTAATTTCCTAGAAATACATGGAGAGATGCTTATTGTTTTGAGATAAAGAGTGTCTACACAAGTCCTGCGAGAGCTGTGGATCAGATAACAGTGGTAAAACCTGCAGCTTTGGTATATAAGGTGGCAAAGATAGATAGGCTTTAAAAGATGATTCAAAAATCAATTAAATTACATACTGTACTGTAATTCAACAAGCACACCACATTGTTCCTTTACAAAGGAAGGAAAAAATGAAATATGCCATCTCTTCAGGACTAGCGTCAATAACCTGCACTTTATTCTGCATTTTGTGTGTTTTTCCAGATGTCTATGAAGCTACAGCTTGGACACAAAAGGTGTTCAGACAGTGGTGAGCAGTAGCAGAACACAATTTATTTTCATCACATTTACTAAAAGTCATATTTTTAAACTGAGATTTATATTTTGAGCTCAAACAATGCATTCAGCAACGTGTGTTGCCCTGTCTACTCTGCCTGACTAATAACGCAGAAAGAAATTAGTATCTGCAAAGAGCTTAGTGGAAGCATGCTGGGGAGAAAGCCCCAAGTCACTTTAATAGCACGGTCTGCTAATGATGGGAAATCTCAAATTTATTAATACAAAATACCATTGGTGTCATATAAACATCTGTACCTCTGTACATCTGATGATGAAAAATATTACCAGTATTTTCTTTAGATATACATGCTCCGAAGTAACATAAAATCCATGAAATATATTGCACTACCAGTTTTACCAGGTCTGTATCAGACACTACATTTCATCTAGCTTGAACGTCCACCATTATCACCCGTACTTGCAACCTTGTAATGTGCTTATGCTAGAATTAGTGTCTTAAAGACCAGAACCTTTCGCAAACAGATTGCTTGAGAAGACATGAAAATACCCAAAGAAGAGTGCAGATTAATAAACAGATGAAATTAAATTCATCAAACACATATACGTGCTTTCTATCTTCAAAAGTCCATCCTGAAGTTCCACAAGTTGCTATGTCTTTTGTTACATAAGTGTGGGATTTTCTGTGCAGTGCTACACGGCCACACTCACCTGCTGGGAGAGTCGTCTGGTCCTCAGGAAGAATCCGAGAAGACAGCCGATGGTGACAGACAACACCGAGAGAATGAGCAAACCATTTCTCTTAAAAACATCCTTGATCCGGGCGAGGACTGCATCAAAACCCACTGCCATGCTGTCCGTGCTCTGTGGAGAAGAATCAGCATCCCATGGAGAGAGAATTCACTCCCTTCTCTTGTTCGGGTGGACAGATCTAGCTCTGTATAGATCAGATCAAAGCACTTCCAGTTCTGCTTAGCTGACCTGCAAGGTCACCCCTCTGCCAATAGCCACCGAGCAAGCAGCTGGCATTATTGTTTCCAAATTAATACCAACAATCCTATTATCAACTACATCATTAAGAGCCTGGAAGAAGATTAGGGGGCTCTGGAAAATTAGAACAGAATGCAGTAGTATTTCTAAAACAAGACTGGTTCAAAACAAAGTGACATTCCTGGGAGCAAGATGGTGTCTGAGTGCATCCCACGGTCTCCCCAGTTTGAGGTCTGGGCACCCAAACCTGGAAAGGGAACAGAGCGTGCCATGCATTCCCATGGGCAGAAGCAGTGTTCCGGCAGGTTTTCTAAAGGGCAGAGCAGGTAACGTTTTGAACTGGACTATCACAACAGGGCAAGCTAGGTGAGACTGAACTTCATTAACTGAAGCAGGCTTGGGTTTTGTGTTTTCTTGGCAAAAAAAGACTGCATGAGTAGCAGAGGAGACATGCATTAAGCATAAGACAGCTGTTTACCGTAACACGCAAGGACACCTCCTGGAATTTGCCATTTATTATCCTGGAAGTGAAATGATTTCACTTTTCTTCCAACCACTATGTTGATTAGAGGGGGCCAATTTACTTTCAGAGGATTATCAGACTAAGCCATGGGGATTGCTTTCCTTTCCTTTGCCATGTCCACATGCAATCCTAACGTCAGTTTTCATGCTAGTATCTGATAAAAATACATCACCAAACTGTTCACCGTGCCGTGCTTTCCTACCAAAATCTTCAGTATTTCTGAGTTAAGTCTATGATTATGCAGTGCTTTTATGGAAAATATTCCACACAGTACAACATGATTGTGTATTTGCAATATTATACTTTACACTGTAATGCAGCTTTTGTTGTTACATGCTCATATATGGGTAGAAAATGTGAGTTTTAGCTGTTCCATTTGGAAGTAGGATCTAACTACGGTGGCTAAGACATAAGGACACACAACAACAAAACATAAAAAAATACATGTGGAGTCGATATGCTCAACAAGAGCCCTGCCAAAACAAGGGGATCATAGTAAACTTTATTAATGTGTATGTAACAGAGGCCTGAACTAATTTCGAACCGTCCTGCTCGGCAAAGTTTCTAATATCCAGATAACTTCGCTACCTCGACAGCACGCATCGAATACGCTTTCCAGATGAAATAATACTAAAAAAGCCGCTTCACGAAGTCACGCCAGGCTCCGCGCTCGCCGCTCTCAGCCGAGCGGCGAGGGGC